ACATGCAGAAATTCTCCTTTGGAAAATCCATGATGTCACCTACATTGAAATCACAGGATCCAGCTAGCTGCGGTGAAGGTGTAGGGCCCAACTGAAGGAAATACCAAGTACATTCTGTACCGAAAGTGCCTTGAAAAGCATAATTGCTTCAGCCTCCATAGCAATTAAGGTATAAAATATTCTGTGTTATTTATTCCTATCGTTCAGGCAAAAATCACTAATCAGTCATGTTGTGGGGAACTGTAGTTTCCCTGGAAGGAAGCTTGTTTCCTTAGGGTTCATGTTCTTTCTCTCTCTTTTTTTTTCTTTTTTTTTTTCCCTTCTTTCCCAATAAAAACATAAGCATACTAAAACAGAGGGAAATGGGAGAAAAGAACTTGAAAGTCTCAGTCTTGTATAGCATGGAAGATGCTTGCTTAAAATCTGTCATTTTGTCACCTGCACCCCTTCTCGCCACCAGCCTTACCCTGTGCCCCCTTTATGGAGTAACTGGCTGTTAATGATGACATTGTATGTGAGATGTACATTATGGAAGGGCTGGTAGAAAGTAAAAAAATGGCTGAGTAATTCCGAAAGCCAGTCTCTAGGCTGTTTTAGGTTTCCCTGTTATGGTGAACACAGAAAAGTCCCTTAAGGCATGCGTTAAGACAAGTTTCATGCTTTTAGTCGCGACAGTGAGGATGGACCCCCCAGCAGCCCTCCTGCCTATCAGGAGGAAGCGGAGGGAGTTGGGTTGGTTGAGGAGCTGGATGTGTTTGCACAGGCCACAGTCCTCCTCTGGAATCGAAGTTCGAAGCTGAACCCGGTGTTGTTGACTGGTTTTGTAGGACTGAAAGTAAATTCCTCCCTCGTCTCCCCCCCCCCCTTTTTCCTTGCAGTGAGGACTCTACAAGGTGTAATGAGGTGATTTGAGTGTTGAGGTTGGCGTACAGGGGATGTGCCTTTATATTTGTTTTTTTTTTTTTTTCCTCCACTGTATATTCCTTTCTCTTCTCCTTTCCTCAGCCTCATTTCTGCACAGCAACTGAGGATTTCAGTGGCATGGGGAATTCCTGGAAATCTAAGTTAGTTAGCATTGTTGGCTGAATGCTAAGTAATTTGATTTGTAGAGTTTTTAACAAAGCTTTGCTTCCTAGTTTGGGTATATGGCCTGGTAGGAATTCTGACAGAAAACTTAATAAACACTCAAATGCAGAAAGAAAAACACATTATAAAAGAGAGACTGGAATTCTAAGACTTACTATTGTCAGTGGGTAGAGGAGGAAGAATTTTTTTTCTAGTTCTTTCTGTGATAAAATGAATGGTTTATTAATGTAGTGTTTCTGATTTCTCTTATTTGTAAGGCCTGCTTTGTGTCTGATTGAGAGGGCTGTGAATCTTGCCTAAGCAGATACTAACAAAATGTGTGCACAGATCGGAGTTTCCTGGAATAGGTCAAACTCTTAGAGGATCGGTGGAAGAGTTCCTTACCTGACATCCTGTGTATTTTAACTATGCTATAGAGTGTTCTTCAAAGTAATTTATCTCTGCATGGAGAGGTCAAATCACTGTTTGTATCTGTTTAGTGCTGGTGATCTTTATTTTGTTTGCCAGCAAGCACATTTGATTAATGTTTTATTTCAAGTTTTTTTTTTTGTTTGTTTGTTTTTTTAACCTGTGATAGTATTATCCCTGTTATTGCTTTCCTCTTCATGTACTTATGTATGGGTTTCTCACTGCACGACCTTCCTGGAATACTGAGAAAAAGAGCACTAAAATAAAGTTCAAAAGAATGGATTTCAATTAAACAGTACTGAAAAAGATGATGTAAATTAATATTTTCTTCTACAGAAGTTGATACTGTATAAGATATAGGTGATCTTGAAATGTTTACCTTAACAAATGGCACACACCATGTAACACATGTATTGATGACTTTTGTCCTCAGCATCTATATAATGTGCTTGATTTCTTATAGCTACACTATCTATATAAAATGGGAAAATGCCACTATAAAAGGTTTAACTGAAAGCTACAGGATGCAGAGAGCAGGAACCTTTCCTTACTTAGGACTCCCCTGCAGCAGAACTTAACAGGAAGCTAAAACAGGAAGCCTTGATAAGGTTCCTTTTGCTGAGATTTTCCCTATTATATTCCTGCATCATATGCACTGAGGTGGTGTACAGGACCTGGCTGCAGTCCAAAGACCAAGTCATCCTCAGAGGACTGCCTACCTCCCCATTACTGTTCCCAGGTTAAACTTGGCAAATTAGTTCCACTAGAACCCCCCTAGTCTTCCCTTTCAAAGGAAGGAACTTGCATTTGGAGTAGTTTTCCAAGATAATAATGTAGCCTTAAACTCTGTTGTATCTTCCATGATAACTCTGCTGGCTTACACGCAGGCTACATCTTCTGTGGACTGCCATGCCCATACTAAATTTTTCCATTGCTCCCATCTCGTTCAGGTCATGTACCTTTTCTTGAAACACTGTTCGTAGGCAGTAGACCCTGGGTGTCTAGTAAAGGGGACAGGATATCAGAGGTGGTCATTTAGATCTGAAGTTGGAGAAGGGGAAGTCGATGGGAGAATATCCATTTACACTGCCCATGTACTGTGTATACAGCAAACCCTATAGACAGTGGTCAGTTAAAGGTATTGGACATTAATAGATTGATCAGTTTAGAGCGCACAGCAGTTTTTACCTTGCTAGTGATAGCAATTCTAATGATAGGCTGCTTATCACAAATATTCATATTAAATAATTGAGGTAATCTCTAACGGCATTCAGCAATGTTAGCTTTTACAGGCTGTGAAGCTAATGTAGTTAGGAATACAGAAAGTAATACTGGACGAAATTGTGGTAGAAAATTTTGCTTCTATTAAATCAACTATACAAATACAAAACCATTTTCAGTAAAACCTAATCAGTTGTCAAATATATAAGAAAAATATATCTATTTGAAGAAATAAAACTGTCTTCAATACAATCTAATCAACTGCCAGAAATGAAACATCTCTAATTTGATTAAAATGTTGCCGTTGACCATAGTTATTTTCTCTTGTTGTAAATAAGAGGTTCTCAAGACAGAATGATAGCTTTTCTTATTGAATATCGCTTTTAGCTTTTTTAGTTACTGCTCTTTTTCTGTCACTGACATTAATTCACTGCTGTTCGAGGGCCGATGTGCCTTGCACTTGGCCAACATTATCCACATTAATGTTGCTTTTTCCGTCCCAATCTCCATGCTCCTATTAGTTTTTGTTATTTGTTCAATCAGTGTTTCTAGATGTTGCCTCTTCTAACTTATCGTTATGTTTTTTTCTAACTTGAGATGAAGAGCGTAGGAATCTCTTCTGGTTCAATTCTAAAAAGACAAGGCAGCTGCCAAGTAGTCTGCACAGTTGTGGTATTTGGATAACCTTACTTGCTCATAATATAGGTACATATATGCAAATCGTTCACCAGGAAGAGCCTGAGAGCCATGGAAGCATGCTCTGGAAGTAAGGTGTCTTTCTTCCCAGATTTCTTTGTTCAGGAATGATACTCATATATATGAGACAGGAAAAAAAAAAAGATGTTGTCTATCATTGGGTTACTGTATCTTTCTTCATATGCTTCTGTTCCTAGCTACTC